AAATATTGGATAGAAAATTATTTTTAATGATATGAGCGAACTTTTCTAAAAAGTTAGAAAATTGACTTAATTTTAATTGCCGAAAGACGAAAATTTAAGTCCACTTACTTTCCAAATGCTGGATTCGCCAGGGCGTTTGACATCGTGCCGCTCACCTTTCTTTGGAATATATTCCGTGGCAGACAGTGTTTCAGGAACGAACGACTCGTCACGGCAAAGAATATTAGAATCCCGTGGTTTAATACTCGGGTAATGTTCTCCTGTTTCGCCCTTGAATTTTTCGTGTGATACTGTTTTGTCCTCCATTCGTGCCTCATTCTGGTAGGATATCAGATTAGTAGCCTGCGAATTGAGCAACAAGACAGCATCACCGTTATAATCATCGAGCACTCTTGAAGTTACTGCCATGAAATTATTCATTCTACCGATATGACTGTTCCCAAAGAATACTTGAAATGCGGCACAATGCACCAAATGCCGCCAACATGCATATCCTGTTGTAATCCGGTATTATCCTGCACTTTTCTGCCACTGTTTATCGGTGTTTCTGAACATACCGCAGATGGATGCAAACCCAGGCTAGAACGCACCAGGCAGGCCGGTGCGATTATGTGTTTTTGCACTTTTCGTGCCGTAGCAAGATTGCAAGGGATCACGGTAGCTAACTCTGTGACATACTGGCCCTTGATGTTTAGGAAGTCAATTGTGCAGCTATGTGGCGTGTCAATTGTAGGTGCCGCCTTCAGTGACCCGACAAATGGAAAGTTCCTGGTCCGCGAAAAAGGCCGCACTAGAAAAGTTAAATTTGAAATCTTTTAGTCGCACATGAGTAGGGGACATCCCTTTAAAATTGAAGCCTTCAACTTTTCCCGTTCCCGAGTTAGCAGTTTTCCCATCAAAATTTTCACGCGTCCGTACGTGAGTACCGGACGGATTTAAGGAGCTGAATTTGAAATCTTTTGGTCTCACATGAGTAGGGAATATTACCCTAAAGTTTCAGCTTCCCAGCTTTTCGCGTTCCCAGATTAGTGATTTTCACGCCAAAACTATTACATGTAGCGTACGTGGGTCTCGGCGCCTCTAAACAACTGATTTTGGTTGTACATGAGTAGGAAACATTCTCGTAAAATTTCAGCCTTCTAGCTTCTTTCGTTCCCGGGTTAGTGATATTGGTGCCAAAACTTACAAGTGCCCGTACGTAGGCCCCAGGTGCTTTTAAATACCAAATTTTGCTCGTACATGAGTAGGGAACATTACCCTATTGTTTCAACTTTCTAGCTTTTCTCGTTCCCGAGTTAGCAATTTTTTTGCCAAAAGTTTTACGTGCTCGTATGCGGGACCCAGGCGTTCGTGACAGTTAATACGGCGGTCCTAGGGCGGCACTTGGCTGAGGAACATACTGGCAAAATTTCGGCTTCAAAGCTTGCATGGTTAGCGAGTTGAAATACCCGGACAGACGAAAACACACACACAAACATATATATATATATATATATGTATACATACACACACTGACAGAGTCGTTGCAATATGCGTTTTTGCTGCCTTTTGCAACGCTCTAGCGCTGCTCGGCAAAAACGCATAAAAATGAAATTTAGGAATGCTCATTTTCTAAATATCGGACACTTCTGGCCTTACAACAGCGTATGGCCCATCTCCTTTAGGCGTATATTCTACATTTTTAACAGTTTTCGAAGTGAACAATTCATCTCCGCGTAATAAGTCAAAATATTTCGGTTTCACCGCATGGTATCATTCGCCCCTTACAAGAGTATATTCCTGATGACTTACGCTTAGTCCGTTCAGACTGCTCTCTTACTGCAGTATAATAATCAAGAAAAGAAGCTAGTTAATTTTACAGTAAGAACTTCGCATTCAGCAATTTTAAGCGTAAAAAAAATTCACAACAGGCCCCCAACCACAAAAGACCACCACCGAAGCCATTCAGCTTGGCAGGATGAAGGTTCGGAATGAGCTTAGTCATGCATCAGCTCTCTGAATATGCTTTACGTGGTCGTTTTTCCCGCACAACTTGTATCGTTCAGTCATGTGAAAATCAGGACAGACAATCAAATAGAAGTCGTTTCAAAAAATGCACTTTTATTCACTAATCGTAGTGTTGGGATCTCAAAACTGCAATGTGCCATGTAGCTGTGCTTCATGTCAGTGCCGTTCATATTCTAGAAGCACAGACAAGGATTTTTTTAAAAAATATGTAACGTATTTTAGCGGATTTATGTGCAATATGCTATATTAATATTTTTTCAGTCTACATTTACTGCAAAAGTTTGTTGTCGACCCTCTTCCTCTCCTTTCTTACCAAAATAAGTAAGAAAAGGGTTGAAGATTTCATTTAATGCCAGAATCACTAGCTGGCCAACTAACAGGTGATGTAGCAACCGTCACAACGACTTCTTGAACTCAAAGAGGGATTGTAACACTTTAGACAATGTACCAGACACTTATTTGGAGTTAAATGATATACCGAGTTCAGACAAGAGCAGAGCGAAAAGACTTCAGATGCATTACCTTTATCAAATGCAGAAGGAACAACCAGCACCTACTTAGAACAAAATAACAAAGCATGCTGCATGGAAAAATAGCAGAAAAAGTTGTAATTTTAAAGGAAAGTAGGCTCTAGCCGACGGCGCTTCTTTCAACTAATACCCAAAATTCCCTGAGAAAAGCGCGCTCAAATAGCGTAGACGCAAATAGCATCTGGAATTCTACAGCCTAAAGAATCGGGGTCTGCTGTAAAGTCATTTTTCGTTGTTATCCAAGAACCAGACCAATTATTTGTTCGCTTAATAAATCACGAACCTTCCAAATATCTGATTCGTCTGGCAGGGTGACCTCAGAACGTTCGCCAGCTGTAAATTCACTGCCACTTTGCGACTGAGCCGTGAACGAACCATCACCACTAAGTATATTAGAATCGCGCGGCTTCACCGTCGGATACCGTTCGCCTGCCTTTTCAGTGAAGTCTTCATGAGATACAGTGTCACTTTTTAGTCGACCTTCTTTCTACAATCACAATCAACAACATTTATCAGCGGTGGGCCTAAGGTTTTGTATGGGGAACAGTTCTAGAAGAATACACAACTGAAAATTATTTGTTCAGTGCAAAAAAATTTTTAAAGAAAATTTAAGGATGATGCAATATGTGATAATTTTTCAATTTTTTCTTACGCTGAACTGTTGTTCAGTGTAAGAAAAAATTGTCACTAATACATAGAAGTTTAGGAAAACCTACTATCACTTATTTAATCCCTTCCCTTCTTCTGCTCAATCCCATTCAGTCGCTACTGAAAATAGCAGGCGTCCCGCTTAATCCGAGTAACAGCACTTTGCCAGAAGTAACCACCCTTACCATCAATGAATTCTTTTTTTAGAACTGCTTTAAAAGTTCGCTGGGAAGAGACAGAAGGGGCCCTAGCTCTCGGATATGTAATAGTAAAACATCCTGAGAAATACTAGAAAATTACACTTGTTGGAAGCTTAAACAAATCGCGAAAAACTTCACATTTCAGGCGCGAATTAGTTTTCAAAAGGAAAAAAAGGTGAACCTTCCAAATATCCGATTCTCCAGGCCGAACAGTGTGGTAGCGTTCGCCTGTTTTTGGAATATATTCAGTGCTGGCATGAGTTTCTCCTATGAAAGAACCATCACCACGAAGAACATCCGAGTCTTTCGGTTTCTTTGTCGGATAACGATCACCTTTTTGGCCACGGAAATCTTGGTGCGATACAGTTTCACTTTCGATGCTCCCTTCATGCTGCAAAGGGGAACTCGATCAATTAAAATTTCAAGATTTTGATCAAATCGTAAATTTCGTGGTTTCGAGATTTCATAAATTTGCCTAAAATACTGCCAAAATTGAAATACTGTGGAAATCTTCTAGTGACGTATTCCTGCGAGAAAAATATATTCAATCCCGGGTAATATCCAATTTTGTGTATTTTACTTTCTTTTCGGTTTTCGCACTTCTGGCTTATATGTGTTAATTTGCGTGTCGAAGGTGTTGCAGTCTGTTGGAAGAAATTAGATTTAAATTTAAACTTACAGTATTTTGCATTTGAAATTGATAGTATCAAAATACCTTCCATACATCCGATTCAGCTGGTCGAATAGTACTGTATCGCTCGCCTGTCTTCATCACATAATCAGTGCTATTTTGCGTTTCTGATATAAACGAGCCGTCGCCATATAAAATATCGGATTCCTGCGGTTTATACACCAGAGAGCGTTCCGCTTTCCTACCGACAAAATCTTGATGTGAAACAGGCTTCTTGTCCATTTTACCTTCTTGCTAAAAAATTCTCCGGTGTTTTTCCAGACTAATGCGTAATCACGAAATGAAATTGGATCGCATCGAACAATGGTCGATTGTATTTTTCTTGAAAATTAGTTCCTATATCAAATAGTGCTTGAGATTTATAAGCTAAGCTGTATTAAAATTTTAAACCGAGCATCCCCAGCTGACAATAGCACACCACAAGGAGTTAAAAACGCCGTCAGCTCGCATAGAGCAGATTTCGGGCTACTGTCAGCCTCGTCAGTGGGAGACTATTTTTAGCGCTGTGATATTTATTGGGTTATTTTCGATGTTTCTACTTTTAAAAAGCCCGATTTATAGACAGGTTTAACATTTCCTGATTTGGATTGCTTGATACGTAATCCGTGAAAAAAAAACTTCGGGTTAAAACTGGATCTAAAATTTTTCCGGGTTATTTTATAAAACAAAATCAAAATTAACTAAATGGGACGGATAAGCTTTCTTCCTAGGTCGAATTGCTGTCTCGAAGCAATCTGTTGATTAATTTGGACTATACATTGTTTTGGCATAAAAGTGAGCCAAAATGCACTCACTTCTGAAGAGCAACTTTCGAAAGAGAACTACCGAAAAGTTTGTCAACAGGTCATTTTCTAACGGCAAAGTGGTTTCACTGAAACGGTTTCCAGTTCCTCTGACTTTGCAGATTTTAGAGGATTTAGTCTTACTTTACCATCACAGGTCTCCAGGTGAAATAAAAATCCACCTTCCAGATTTCGGATTCGCCGGGACGCTTGATGTCATAACGGTCAGCAGCTCCTTTCCGTGCGTATACAACAGAAGATTGTGTTTCTGATATGAACGATCCATCACCAGCTAATATATCGGAATCTTGCGGTTTGGAAATCGGATAACGTTCACCCTTCTTAGCTTTATATTCATGACGAGTCATTGATTCACCTTCCAGCGGTCCTTGTTGCTGAAATAAATCATTCCGAACACAAACTTCTACCTCATGAGAATTCCACACGCACTTTTATTGAACCAAAAATGCAACCACTTCAAAAAGGTAATAAGAATTTCAGCAAATAGTTAAGATCCCTTTTCAATTTTTATGCGTTTTTTTGCAGCAATGCAATGCGAAAAACGCATATTGACGAGAGGTTGTCTGTGT